ATGGAGGAGGAAGAAGGGCGCGTACGCAGGATGTATGATCGGGTCACGAGCGCTATGCAAAACCTAGGCGTGTCTATGCAAAACCGGCTTTTATCTAAGCTCAGGCGACTGGGCACCGCTCGGCGTTTTACGGAAAATGAATGAAAACAATCGGGGGGGAGGGGGGGGAGCAGCCAGTGGTGAGGATCTGATGCACGGCATTTTCATAGAATGCGATTTTTATCTGCCCGTGCGGCCGAAGGATAAAAGTGGGAACGATAAAAAACGCGATATCGGCGCCGATTGTTCGCGGGAGCCGCGAAAATGATTTACCGTAATGTTGGTGGATCGTAGCGTGGTCGCGGTCGCCCTTCCCTTCCGTGTTCTCTTTCTGTCGCGCTCTGCCCTCTCGATCGGTCGCGCGCACTTTATTTGCTCGAGTTATTCGGCGCCGCGCTTTCCTTTGCCGATCCGCTTCGCTAATGCGCTAATTCCAATATAAATGCGCATAAATTGCATTAAAGGCCGCCGGGGTGCCGAGCGAAAATTTCCGATCGCTTGCTTCTCTTTTTCGGCTCGCGCTGATAAGCGCATTAAATGTGGCTTCGATCCCTACGGTCAGCGAGAGAAGGAGAGCGAGGGAGCGCCAGGTTGCCCGAGTGCAATAATAACAAATTATACGTTTGTATGACGTGCTGATGGCTTGATTGGCGTATTTATCGGACGCTAATAATGCACGCGCTAAATTGTCCGCGATGCGCCGTCCCTTGACTTTTTTCGCATATCGATCATTTTCAAGGCGACAATGCGCTGATTGAACAGACGTAAGCTCCTTCGTAAAAAGCAAAATTATTATTATTATTATTATTGTTGTTGTCGTTGTTGTCGTTGTCGTCGTTATTATCATTATTATTATTATTTTTTTATTTTATATTTATTTTTATTTATTATTATTTATTATTATTATTTTTTTTTTATTTATTATTATTTATTATTATTATTTTTTTTTATTTATTATTATTATTATTATTATTATTATTATTATTATTATTGTTATTATTAATGTTATTATTATTATTATTATTATTATTAATGTTATTATTGGGCGAGGATTAATAGTTTTAAATTTCTCTTCTTTTCTATTCTACGTGGCCGAGTGGAATAATTATTGTGGATGGGACAAGCGGAGATATACATTTTATTCGAATACGACAAATCGTGAAATTACGCGAATAATGAAAAATGAGATAATGTGAGGAGTCGTACGTGATCGAGACGAATAATGATAAAATCGTCGAAATACCTAGATTGCCCGAAAATGTTGATAGATCGATATTATACGAATAGCAATTCCACCATCATTATAAACAAAATGTTATTATAACGGTTGCTCCACGTTATGGAAAAACATTGTCGTACTTGTTGAGCTCTTTTGTCACAGTTACGTCATAATTTAATCGATAAATAAGTCTAGTATTTTATTTCCGTATATAAGCAGCAAAATCTAATATCACTTATAAAATTATCAGTTATTTTATTTGAGTTAAGCTTTAGGTTTTTTTTTTTTTATATAAAGTTCTTGCAAAATGTACGAAAATGAAAATTTCTAACGATAATAGTAAAAATAAATTTTTATAAATTGATCTATTGCTGGTCGAAATTGTTATTTTTAATTTATTTCTCAATATTGTTTGCAATACATTATATATTCACTATGAATATTTCTCAATAATTATAAAATTATTCTAGCTCATTCATATAAATATTTATTAGCGAGTCTGTTTTCCATTTTGTCTTCCTACATTGTACTACATTGTAATATGAAATTACTATTGCTATGGTTTTTATTATTATTGTATTTCATTATTGTATTCATTTGTCGTGAGAAAAAAAAATTCATTTTACGTAATAATTGCGCCAATTGCACTTGAGAATCGTATACATTTTCGATATTTTGATACTTTTTCAAAATAAATGATTTTAATATTATTGTTATTTTAAGCAAATTTAATAATCGTTTGTATTTAATTTATTTATTTAATAAATTTAATAAAAGTCTTGGTTGTGTAAGAATCTCAATACTTTTATTATGTCGAGCAAACTAATAGTTTGTAATAATAACATTGGCATTATTCATATATCTGTTAATAAACGATATATTGCCAAAATTGCATAGCTAACAAGGACTCGTAAACTATACGGCCAAAGAAGGTCGATTAATTTTCAAATTGACTTATTGTTTTTAAACATCAATTACTTTAGGAGCAGTGGTGTTGTGATAATTCTGCAATTCATCTGTTCGATCCAAGTTTCTCAGTGATTTATATTTAAGATATTCAAGTCAATTGATTAGTCATATAACGAATAAATTAAAGCATCGCCTTGAATTCAAGGTTTTCTAAATGTTTGAAGATGCTCATAGCATCCATTACTAATCGCACAGGGAGCTTTATTTTGTGTACTGGTATTTATCTATTTTTATATTCAGATTTACCTTTCTTGACTTTATAAATAAGGTAATTAATTTTACTATTTCCAGTGCCTCATTTTTAACGTCCATATCTTCAGAATTATACATTATAACATTTATATTGCATAAAAATTTTAAGAATATAAGAAAGGTGATCGTTAAGTTATTATGAATTATTACTAGCTCATTATAATCAAACCATTATTTATACAATTAAATATGTGATTCTATCGATAATTTATTAAAATATAAACTATGGCATAAATATTAAATTGTAAGCAATAATGAAAATAACATTTGAAAAAGTATTCGACTAAGCGCTATTAATTCATAAGTTTTATAATGACTTCTCGGATACAAATATAAATACACGTAGAATTATATTATTAAATAATTTTATATAATATTTTATATTTAAGGCGCACTCACTTGTAGGAAAAAAAATTTTTTTTTCACTTGAAACCAGGCTTGCGCATATTATCTTTTCATTTAATACTATAAACGAATTTTAATATTAATTTATATAAAATTATAAAAAAAATTTCTATAAAATTTCCTCATTCAAATAATTATTCATAAAATTATTGTATGTTGTAATGTTTTATAAATTATAAACTATAAGAGAAATAACATTATGTCAATAATCACACAAACAGCAAGTTATTCATAAATATATTATTTTTCAAAATTAACAATGACACGTTAGATATTTTATTATCATCTTTATATGGACTTTTTATTATATTTTAAAATATAAAGGTTTTTATAGATGTAATTTTTATGTTAATAGTCATAAAAATTATAGATACATTAACTTAAAATAAATTATAAGTTAAGAGTTGTTACCCGCTACATTACATTTCTTTCCAACTATTTTTAGTTTAATATTGGGATTACTAGTTATAATTCTTTGCGTAGTAACCGAATGCAATAATAAATATAACTTGTGAAATAACTTTTAATGATCAAATCAATATCCGGAAATATTATATTAAAATGAATAATTTTTATTTAGAAAATTTCAAGCGTTTTATAAACTGTCATGGTATTTAATTACATATTTTTATATTAGAATTGTGTAAAATATAAGCAATTATTATTTTCAGAAATAAATCATATAAATCTGTTTATGAAACTTGCGATATTGTAATATCCGGAATCAGATTCTAGAAATTAAAATAAAAATCTGAAATTATTCCACTCTTACATGTGTAATTGATAAGCAAATAAAAAGTTCAATTATTAATTTTATAAAAAGATTTTTTTCTATAATTGAATGGAGGCATACTTTGCTTATAGCATTTCAAATTTTTGACAAAGTTTGACAATTATTATTTTCATATTATAATTGTTCTATAAACTTTATATTAACATGACAGGTTATTTTAGTTAACGGTATGTTACGATTAATAATTGATTTCTCATAAAAAAAAAAAATGCTGGTGACGTTACTATCAAAGACTAGAGATTACATACTTGATATTGCACGGATATGTGCTTACGTGCGTGCGTGCGTGCGTGCGTGCGCGAGCTTTCATTTAATCAAGCGTTAAGTAGTAATTCATTAGCAATATGTTATCGGCATCAATGATGAAACATACTTCGAAAATCTTGTTTGGATACCGAATTTGAAATTAACGATCACCAGGAATCTTATCCAAAGTCTATAATTGGTACTAATAAATGCATAAAATTTTATTACACAGCGAGTCTCATTTTCCGCGGAACATCGCTACATGACTTTTTAAATTTAATTCATGCGACGAACCTCTAGCTCAACTACAGACATTACACACACGCACGTGGGCGTAAAATTTTTCTCTTGTTTTTTACGCTTTTTATTACGTCTCGTACTCACTTGTTCCACCTATTTTTGAGCCTTGCATTTTTCCTCCCAGCGAAAAAGGAAGGAGAAAATGGCAGCTACAATGCGCAACAAAAGCACTCCGTAGGACCGTAAAATCCAAAGTTATCGCATGATATAGGGCCGGTTCAATGCCAAATATATAAAAACGAAACCGCGGGCACCCGAGCCGACATTTATGGGGAAAGTGACGAGTCTGCGCTTTAGCTCTACTCGTACGTGTGTACTGCGCAAATAGCTCCCGCGTTCTGGAGAAACAAAAAAAAAAAACAAAAAGAAAAAACGAAAACAGAAACGAAGAAAAGAAGGAAAAAAGAACTGAGGAAAAAGAAACGTGGAACGCGACAACGAAGCCGCTCGAGGAGGAGCGAACGTCGATGGATTTATAATTTATGTGCGCTAACCGCTTTCTCTCTCTCACACACACACACACACACACTCTCTCTCTCTCGTCTGTCTGTCTGTCTGTCTGTCTGTCTGTCTGTCTGTCTGTCTGTCTGTCTGTCTGTCTGTCTGTCTGTCTGTCTGTCTGTCTGTCTGTCTGTCTGTCTGTCTGTCTGTCTGTCTGTCTGTCTGTCTGTCTGTCTGTCTGTCTGTCTGTCTGTCTGTCTGTCTGTCTGTCTGTCTGTCTGTCTGTCTGTCTGTCTGTCTCTCTCATTCACGTTCTCCTTGTCTCTCGTGCCGCAGGTTTTATGCCCTCGACCCTTGAGCGCATAAAGGCGTATAATTAAGGTGCAGAGGAGCACTGCTGCTGCTCAACATGGAGATGAGGACGGAGGTAGCGGTGACGACGTCGTCCCCGAGGACGACGGCGACGAGAAGCTACGCCCAAGGGCCTCGGACTCGCGTCAATGTCTTGTGCAACGAGTCCTCCTCTCTGCCGATGATGACGACGATGATGATGATGCTGCTGCTGCTGCTTGCCCTTGGTCTACAAGAGGTAAACATTCGAATGCATTTTGTCCGCCCTTTTTTCCATTTTCGCCGTCTGGTTTTACGATCTTTTTGAAGTACAGTTATTGGATGCATAGAATCTAAAGTATGATGTGATTTTTTACAATTAAACTTTGTATTCGTGTACGTCGTAAATGGTTCATTCGTTGCATGTTTTTTAATGCTGTGAAAGTAAAAAGTATGCTTTTGCATCGGCGATTTAATGGTTCTTTTTGGTTTTTGTTTAATTTTTTTGTTTTGTTTTTCTTTTGTTCTTCAAAAGACGCGTGACGAGCTTATTAGGAACGTTCAAGTTAATATGTAGTTTAGTATTAAAGAAGATATGTTGTTTGGGATAGATCGATAGTTATTAATGCGAAACGCGTCAATTCTAATTTAAATCATTTTCAATTAGAAATTAATTAGTTTATTTAAAGTATCAATACCATAAGCGCGATAATTAAAGGAGGAATTAAAAATAAGCTATTGTTTCTTCTTTTCGCAATTACTTTTGGCCTTCACCGTGCCTTTCATGCAAAATATGATTTTATCGTTGAACAGGGAAACGTACGTGATTGAGTCATAAACAAAAGTCATTGAAGAATGATAAGAAAATTACTTAAAATCAAGTTTTGACAATATTGTCAACTTGATTTCTTAATAATTCATTGTACTTGCACTTTATTTGTCGTTAGTAATTTATTATACGTTAATTGATTCATATTTTCCATTGTTTGCGCTACTAGAAGTTAGATCTTATCGAGATCCGGAACGAGATACGCGTAGGCCCATTAAATGTTGCTAATCAAGATAAATTATAATTTTCTTTAATCGCCGCACAATATGAAAAAATCTATCTAACCGTTAAAACTTTAGGGTTAGCATTGCACTTGGTTGTACGATTCTTCCATCTTTTTCTCTCCAACCTGAAGCATGCCCTTGCAACGATCTAATTAAAAATAATCAATTATATATATATATATATATATATATATATATGAATGTACACAGATTTTTTCGAATATTCCTAAATACACGTCAACGCTTAATGAGAAAAAGCTAACGGAACCCTCGCAAAGGCACCAGCGTTTGGCATAACAAACACAGTTACCTTGTCAGATTTTCTTTCAGATTCAGATCCCTAACAGATTACATCTAATTCGATCAGACAATTCATTTAGTACGAACAAGCCATATCACGCTTAGCGTGGCTGCGTGGTAGTTGGAATGAAATCAAATATGAAAGATAAACGAGACATACCGGTTCTTTGGATATCCTTGCAATAACTGCCTCAAATAATAACCTCTTGTACCCATTTTGCATATATATATATATATATATATATATATATATAGATATAAATCAAGTGGACTCTAACGAAAATCGAGGCATTATTGAAATCGCTATTTGCAATTTTTATGGATTCCTTTATAATATATGAGCCTTTGACGAATGGTGGGGAATTTCACAATGCGAGGAGAAACGTTTAAGAAACGATTTCGAGCAAATGACCGTTTACGTAGCGGCAATAAGGTCTAAGTACCGTGAAAAACAGTGCCCATTTCGAATGCTTATTAAGCGTAGGACTAAGGCAATTTTTTCTTTAAACATCTTTTTATGAAAGCAGAAATATACGGAGTTAAACACATAAGCTCGCGCACTCGGCCCTTCCAATAATTTCCCATCCAAGTCGTGCACTTTAACTAATAGTAATTCAAAGCAACCCTCTCCTCGCCACCCCCCCCCCCCACCCCCACCACGCCCACAACCGACCTATACACCTCATATAGTTAAAAAGCATGCAAAAACATTGACATCGTCTACTCGAATCTTATAGCTGACATAGAAAATAACAAAATTTTGATACATCTTTTGACTATATTTGGATAGGCGAAGTGAAAAATTAACGAAAGAAATTTCACAATTATTTCACTGTAGTTTAAGGATTAAAGCCATAGCGTCAGTTTTGCCTTTAACCTTTTTCTTCTCGTAGTTTTTACATGGATCGGTGACTAATGAATGGTTATTAAATGTCTACTATTTTACAGCTAAGTTGGTATTTGATTCTCCAGGATAATCTTAATGCCCGGCAAAACTTATTGTTTAGCCTAAAGAAAGGAAAATGATCTATCCCGTAGCGTCGAAATTACAAGTACTTTTATCTGATAAACAAAATTACACGTTATTATATTAATAATCGTAAAAACGGGAGGAAGGTAAAATACATAACTATGAATTTAAAGTGAAAAATATCCTTCGAGTCAGATGTACTATAAACAGTAAACGCGGTGCACTGCACGATTTCGTGAGGTCGAGTTTAGTCTAAAATACCGGTCTCAAATACCGGTAATTTTGATTGACTTAGGCAAGTTCTGCGAGCTTTAAAAATTATATTTACATACGTATTCCATGTAGAGGTTGTAAGTAGCAATAAAAGAATCCATAGCTCTTGATGACGTTTTGCAATTTCAGACGATAAACCTCAACGTCTTCCCCTCGATGGCATAAATACAACATAAAAAGTGGCTATAAACTTTTACAGAGTCTGGGCCTTGACTTTTACCATTTTCAATCGTCTCGCAAACGTACATATTTTCCAGTCCCTAAAATAATCCAACGCGTCGCTAATCATCTCTCGTGCACGCAAATATTGCACGCCAGGCTAATTAATTGCCGTAGTATGGATGTTTCACCTTAAGCCTTTTACGCTAATGGCCCGCTTTAGCACGCGCTCATCGAGCCTTCACCTTTGTACCTCTAAACGCGCGTAATCGACTAAAATACATCCCCCCCCCACCCCTAATCAATTATGGACAGCGCATGAAATCCAAAGTCCTCGCTGACAAGCCAAAGTGCCAAAAGGGCTTCCAAAGCCTTCTTCGCCCGCTTAACTCATTAATGCTTCGTCTGACAAAGGAACTTGAAAACGCTCGCCAATAGCCTCCCGGCACTTAACATTGATAAACAATCCGTTTATCATTAAACTCCACTCCTTAATTAACATTCGTTATCGCTCCTTTGTATATTATCGTACTATCTCACACTTCCATAGCCATTATATATTCAAATTTCTCACCTTCCTACTTGGCCTATCCTAATGAAATTGGAAATCATGCCTCCCTAGCCACTCACGAGACTTTCTTTACGTTCCCCATACCCAAACACGTCTTTTTCTCCTTCACCCACGTTCTTCCTCCCTCCAAATCTGCACATATACTTGACTCCCACCCATCTAACTATTAGTTCGCAAATTCATAAGCACTTTGACGTATCCAGCCCTCCACCCACCCACCCAGCCAAGCCATACTCCTAAAATCTCTAAAAATTCGGTACCCAACCCATTCGTCTCGTCGTCCCGAGTTTGCCAAATGCCCTCCTCCCTACGGCCAAGCATGCCCCCGCCCGGGGGACTCGCGCCTCCTTTTTAAGCCCGCGGACTCGACGCGCCCACGCACTCGCGGCAGCCTCTGCCTATTATCCGGCCGTGTCGTAAGCGTCGAGGCACGTCGGGCCCACGTGAGCCATCGGTTACGAGGCGCTTCATTCGTTATTTCTGCTTTTCCTACGCTACCGAGGCCCGTGACGTTATGCTGCGAGGATGCATTCGTCGATGACGCACTTTGATCACCGTCACAGTGATGCTCACTTGTCCTATTGGTGATACGGGAACGGGCCGTGGACGCTCGGCAGCTTTCGACTCCGATCGAAAACTGGCTTATCCCGAGGCGCTGCCCCTTCCCCGATCGTCCGCGTTTATGAATATTTATCAAGCGTACCGTTTGGGTCACCATTGGTCCCCTTCACGCACTAGGTGACAAGGGTGTTTCCATGTCGAAGGGGCGCCCGGTTAATTCAGATCAATTTTTAAGCATTCGGTAGAGCAAGGCATCTCCTTAGGCATCTTCCTAACTCATTCGCTCTCTCTCTCTCTCTCTCTCTCTCTCTCTCTCTCTCTCTGTCTTGCCAAAGATTGGCTGGTATCGGAACAGCCTTGGTGAGCCGCGAGGGAAGGATCCATCGTCGGAGGAGCCGCCCATCTCTTTTAAAGGCCACTTTTATCGAATCAACAGTCCACCGATGCGGCGAACGTCGCTGAATAAAACGAGGCCTGCTCTTGGTAGTTTGCAACGCCCCCTCCAACGATTTACTTGCAGTATCAACACTTAATAGAACGAAGGGAGGCCATAAGGCAATAATTTATGCGCTCGTTCTTGTATTCCCAACCGTGGCCGCGCAGAGGCGGAAAGAACAAAAACAAAAAAAAAAAAACAACGAGCGGCTGCTTTAGAATTCAAGACGCATAACAGTATGATAGCAGTGAGTCGGAACTTAAGCACGTTTTTCTCATCCGATACACGAGCGCGGACAATTGGCAACGCAACGCCGCTCTTGGCTAAGGCGCCTCCTGTCCACTCGAGACTGGGGTCTCGCTCGTGGAAACGACCAAGACGGGAAGAAAAGCGATGCTACGTCCAGCATCTCGGTCAGGCGGACGAGAAAAGCTCCCTCTCTACGGGCATTTAGGCGCGGATCAGACGGCTCAGACGGCTAGGAACAGCTACTACGTGGGTGTCGCTCGATTGATGGGCGTAGGTGTGGGTGCGAACTCTCATCGATCCCCACGGCCAACGATGATGGCGAACGTAGGAGGGATGGGGCCAGGCGTTGCAGGTAGGAGGATTAGAAAGGAGAGTAGGAGACACCAGTCGATGCAATTGCATAGGGGAGACCAATCGTATGGTTAAGTCTCAATATGGCTATGGGGGCTTTTAAAGAGCTTGCAGTCTCGCGGCCTTTCGGCTTCTAGGCGTTTCCTCCTGGAATATAAATGTGAAGACTCATTTTTAATCCAAGATAACCCGTCGGCGTACATTCGAGTGGCCGGTAGTGTCTCATATAGTCAGCTTGATAGTACAAATGTTACCTAATAGTCGCCAGCGGAAATATGTCGTGCACGAAGCAAATTATCGAATGTAAGAATGTTACGTTAAAAATATTCTTATTGATGTTATTCGTGAGATATATTATTAAAAAACCATAACACAACAGTGTCCAGTGACGCGTGACATTGCTAAATCACATTATTAAGTATAGCACAATTAAATTTGAGCCAACGCTTGCGTACGGTACGGCATTTCAAATCAATGGCAATTCGGTCTAAATAATATATTGAAAACATGTGATATAAGCTGATGGTTACGTAATTTCAGCTTTCTTAATAGGAATCGAATTAAGTCAAAATTTCTTTATTTCTTTCACAGTCTGATGAATTGTCACGAAGAAAAGAAAATAAATGTGGGACAAATTAAATAACAAAACGGAGAAAAAAAAGAAAAAAAAACATAAGTACAATACAAAGCTATTCACGATTCATTGGAAATTGCGCGAAAAGGCTTTGCAAAATAGTAGATTTTTCAATAGTTTGCTTCTCGTCGTTTTGGATCTTTTATGTTTTTCATTTTTTTTTTTTTTTTTTTTCTTTTTTTTTTTTTTTTTTTTTTTCCTTTTTAGTTTTGCTTTGGTTTCTTTTAGAAGACAGAAAATTTTAAACCAATATTTCAATGTGTTTTCATTCGGGATATAATAATGAAAAGGAAAGAAAGAGAAATGAGAGGCTAGATGAACAATTAGGACATCGACATTGACATAAATTTAAATTTAGCGAGTCTGTTTACGGTAATTGGCTCGTAAGAGAGTTACGCAAGGATTATCCGTGTAAATAAATGGTTCATAAGCTTAAAAATAGATGTCCAATGCTCATCTCCAATATGATTAAATTGCAATAAGTAAAAGCTAAGATTGTTAGTCTCAAGAGTTCGTTTGAAAGTAAAAAATAAAAAATAAATAAATAAAATGAAAAGATCGAAATGTATTATAGAAAGTATGAAGAAAGTCATAAATATGGGATTGAATGAGCCATGGTAGATGAGAAACAAGTACACGGTAAATGATGCGGCATTGAAATTAATTTGTTCTTGCAGTATGTCCAAGATATATCTGCACTCGAAAACATATTTATAAAGTAGTAGATTTCTAAAACGATAAAAATTGTTCTCGACAAATGAACAGGTATATTATTATTATTATTATTATTATTATTATTATTATTATTTTCATTAGTGTTATTATTATTATAATTTTAGTTGTTGCTGTTGTTATTATTATGACGTATGTTCATATAAATTGATTGGAGTTTGTGAAATAATTAAAACTTTCAGTAACGAATGTAATATAATGAGAAATTGAATTACAAAGGCAAAATAATTAGAGCATTGGAAAATATATTTTTACTAGAAAAGTTTTTTATATTTTTGTAATAATACTTCTTTTCGGTCTACATAATTACTTGTAAAATTTCGACAGAATAAGTAAAGTGTCAAAGTAATTTTTTTAGTTAATTCGCTACTTCATTTGTGGCATTTTAAACTTTCTAATGGGAATGCATCATTGACAGACAGCTGAAAGCTTTCTTTTCCTTCAATACAGTTATACGATTAAAGAAGCGACTTCTCAATTTTACGGATATAAGCGAATGATCCAATTAAATAATGATTATCAATGCCAACAATGTTGAATCGATTTAATAAGGTTTCGTTAAAATTTTACCCGACTAATATATTACTAGTAATACAAGCAGGTTACATTGTTGTGAAATGGCCAAGTCATGATAAAATCCTAACCGAACGATACTGTACATTTCGACCTTAAATTTTTACTGTAATTTCATTGGGGGAATGATTCAGCAGCATCTTTCGGATTTGTTTCTTTCAGGTAAATTGACATGAAGTTGGTATTGAATTCAGTGCCTTAAGTCTTTCCATACCCTTGACGTTCTCGTCGTACGCGCTCGCCTGTATTCCCTTATAAATATATTTGTAAACTAATGCGTGACGGCGATAAAATTTTTAGAAAAGAATTTCTAAATGTTAATTTCATTTTCTACGTTAACGAGTAAATATACTTAAAAAAGAAAATTTGTTAGAAAACCGTCTTGGTTTTTATATCGTAAAAAAGTCTTCAGCGAATACTTGAATTTACGGTGTTTTCTTATTTCCTTGCATCAAGTTTACAGGATCATATTAATTATTATTATTTAAACGGTGATAGATAGGTCGAAGGTTCATCACCAGCATCGTCATTATCATCAACAAACGGCAGGAGCAGCGACGGTGGCGGAGGTAGCAGCAGCATCATTATCATAATCATCATCATTATCATCATTCCATCAAGTCGAGAGTCTTTATTTTAATATACTTAATGCCTAGCAATATTTCAATTACTGGGTGCTTGCTTTTAATCGAAAAGCAACACTCGGACGGAGTAAACGATGCATTTTTTAAATTAAATAATTTCTGCTTAGTCTTCGTTACAATCGCTTTACCAGACGTATCCCGGTAAAGCAAATTTATCAATAAAGTTATTTTCAATCAAACTGGTGTTTAATTTTCATTTTTGCTTTTTGTTTTTGTTTCTTCTTTTCATTAAATAAAATACTATCTTCCATATTTGATAATCCATATGAAGATATTATAATGAAGATACGCGCCAGCACACACATTGCCGCGATATTTACGAAGCGGCATTTCGCACTCTCCGCCGAAGCAACAATGCGCACTTCCATTATCTCCCTAAGAATGCCTCCAGTCTCCCCTACGTAAACTGGCAAACACTCGACGCGCAGGACGTAGGCGGTTATTATCACCTGGGGAGCGCGCGCGTCAACCAAGTGAAAACGAAGTTGAAGAAAAAGCGGCGAGGAAAAACGGCGGCAAAGGCGGACAGACGGCGGAAGGTGGCTTAGGGACCGGGAGGGAAGAGGGAATTTTAAGCGGCGCGCCGCGAGAAGGTAAGAGAGAAAGTCCGGTCGAGAGCGAGTTTGGCTCGTTTTCTGCGGCTCGCTCTTCCCTTTTTCGGCCCGGCGATTTTAACCGGCCGCTACTCGCCTGCAAATTGGAGTTTGCTTTACGAACTTACCTTACGGGAATTCATACGTACCGGATAATTTACGCACCCGCGGCTATAATAAATAACGCGGTCGGCCACGCTGATAAATAATCCCCCCAACCCCCCAACCCCGCCCTCCACTGCAGTCACAAAATTTTCGTACGCGCACGAGTAACCCCAAGGAGAAAAAGGAAACGAAGGGAGAGGGCCTAAATCGATGAATCACGCGATTAATGGTAAGGAAGGAACTAACGTGCGTCCGCTCGTTAGCCTAAGCATGACGTACGCACTGGACGAGTAGAGACGAGGGATCGAGCTACGGAGCTTCTTTCACTCGCTAATGAGCCTCGGAATTTCTTACCGTAATGCCCCATACCGGCGCTCCTCCATTCACGCTCGCAAAGTAGATCGAACTTGACGCTGATTCAAAGGACTTTCCAAGGCAATATCGATTGTCAAGCTCGCTTTTTCATTTTGTCCCTGCGACAACGGTACACCTACCAGCTCAAACAGTTACATCCCCCCTCCCCCCATCCTCCTCCTTCTCCTCCTTCTCCTCCTTCTCGCCCTTCCGCGGGGTTGTCGTCGCCACCACCGCCACATCATCACACTCGTCGCTTTTACTTCCTAAAGCAATACTCGACTTCTCACCCCCCCCCCCCGGGGGGGGGGCTTGGGGGACATTTTCTCACCCCCCCACCCGCCACACCACGCCACGCCACGCCACCCCATACCTAAAATTATAGTCTGCCGCTGACGAGATTGAAATTCCCATGCACGAATGTCGTACCACTAAAGAAACGACGGAGGATTCGGTGCCGCTTCCTTATCCCGGGCAAGCGGTGCTTTCATTAACGACCCTATCCCTCGACTAATCAAAGTCGTGCACAGGGCCGGGCGCAGCTGCTGGACGCGGGCTTCCACCCGACGGTCACGGCCATGTGCCAGCACGGCAACATGAATATACGGGTGAACTTCAACCAGAGCTTCGTTGGAGCGCTGCACGCGCGAGGCCACAACAAGGATTACAGGCGGCCACCCTGCATGATGGCCGGCAACGGGTCCACGCAGATAAGCCTGAGCATCGACCTCTTCGCCATGCCGGACTCGCCCGACTACTGCGGCATCATCGTCAACAACGTGAGTTACTTTACGCAGCTTCATTTACGCGCGAATGAGTAAAGGCTCGCTCGGATGAGCCCGGGACCGAAGATCCTGTTGATTTGGCGTTGGACTCGGCTGACGGGACGCATGCGCTCGCACGCCGAGCGTGAAATACAAATTTGACCAACACATTGAGAATTAAGCCGCAAGATATTTCGTAAGTTGCGGTCTACGTAATTATGATCGACGCAGATACAGCCGACTTATTCTTCTTTCAAGCTTGTATTATTAATCACGCAAGCGCGGGCACGCGCGCGCGCACAAACACACGAGCAAACACATGTAGGAGCGTACACTAGCCACTACGTATCGAACAATAAACTGCAATTGTCTGCGTGCACCTCTGGGCAACCAGTCGCGATTTTTTTTTTCTTACTTAAGAACGGCAAGTTTTATTATTTTCGTTTTATTCAATTATGTAAGCTTTCAGGTCTCACCGCATGTCAGACTTCAAAATTCTGATGTACAAGCGAATGCACGTGGGAAACAATTGATATTTAATAGCAATGAATCGTTAAAAGCACTTTTCTCCAAACCGGTCTTTTTTGTCTTAAAAAATATTACCATTCTGACTCGCTCCGATAAATGCGTTGAAAATAACAAAATGGAGTCTTTAAAGTTTTTTCTTTCTTTTTTTCTTTTAAATTCATTATCTAATCTTAAAATAAGTATTAAAAGGAACGTATATGAACTGTACTAAGTTGGTCGAAACGCTCCAATAGTTTGTATATTTAGCCTTTAGTATTTAACTACGAAACTAAGACTTATAAAAAAAAAAAAAAAAAAAAAAAAAAAAAAAAAAAAAAAAGAAGAAAAGCAACATAACTTCCAATAAATTTGGTACTTACGAAAGACCAAAGTTAATAGGTAACGATATTCTTCAACGATATAAAACAACATTATTGATGTAAAATATTACATTTGTATTTACGTATGTCGAGAAAACCTTCAAATAATAAAATATTAGAATTCTAAAGATTATAAGAGCCATAAGATACATACGATATTTACTGTTACCGAAATTACGAATGAAACTGTACAATCGTTGATTATAGCTACATAAGCAATACTTATGATCCTGTTAATCACAAATTGTAGTATGAATAAATTGTAGCTAGAGAGTTGCAGTGAAGCAAAATATAAATTTTTATTTTATGTAAATGGCAACCGATATTATTCAACATACATACATATATACATACATACATATATATATATATATATATATATATATATGTATATATTTAGTACTATATAATGTGTGACTTTTAATTGAGAAATAAATATGATCTGTGAATGTGAGGAATTGTTGTATAATGTATTTATGAAGTTTTTCAATTAAATGCGTTAAAAATTAAATTCGAATTTAAATGAAATTTTCATTACAACATTATTATATTAAACATATGTTGATTGATGAAACTTTTAATACTTACACCAGGATAAATAAATATTCTCTTGCGTATCAATTGTTTTAAATTGCCTTGTATCACAATGTTTGTTACCATCTCGCTCGACAACTTTACGAAACGTTAATTTCATTCAATTAAAAACGCATAATTATATTATTCAGATTACATAATATATATATATATAATGAAAATTGCCTGACAAAATGTTGAATCTTCTCACATTGAAACTTTAAAGTGTTACGGTTTAAGGTTTTAATGCGAAAATATGGTAATTAAATAATATTCACATTGCAGCAAAGTATACAATTATTGTGATGACGTTAAAGTACAATAAGCGACTGTCATTTTTAAACCGATTTCATAGTTTCGTTTAATTTTTTTAACGATACCTTGTAATACATTAAAATTATATACTCATCATTATATTGTAAAATATGTTGTAAAAATGCCGTTTGTGATTTCAAAAGCTCCATAGTCATTATGAAATAAAATGAATGCTATTTTATTTTGGTTGGTAATACCAACGATGAATAGTCTCTGCAAATAAATTTCTGAGAAAACCTGCGTACCTGTCCAGTAATCTGTATTTACTAAAAGAAAAAGAGATATTAAAACAAACCCTGCCAATAGTTCCAGCTTAAATTTTACCAAATAAAATATCGTTATACATGCGCAAATACATATTACTACGTATGTTTGGCCATAAATCACGATTGGAAGAGTTGTTTATGAATCGCGAATACAAGCATCTTCTCAACACTGCGGGTACCATGCAAGCATGAATTAGGGATTGTGGTACTATTGAGATAGAGACAGAACGGCATGATGGAGGGGGGAGAGAGAGAGAGAGAGAGAGAGAGAGAGAGAGAGAGAGAGAGAGAGAATGACGACGGCGCTAAGGAAGGCGGTTACAGAGAGGCGAACAGTCGGACAAAGAAACAAACAGAAGCTTCGAGCCGAATATACGAAGAGAGAAAGCAGTGCAGTTAGAAGGTTTTTAAATTAAAATATTTAATTCCCTCTCGAAACTTACGACATTATTATCGAACAATTGTACGGCTCGTTTGATTTCAGCATAAACTTATGCATAAATATATATTAATGCCCAGTTTAGAAGGTTTAGTGTAACTTTCTCGTCTAATCAAATGAAAATGTAAACCACAATAATGAAATGCAGAACAGAATCGACGAATGATTATGTCTGTATTTTCCTTCGTCCATCTCAGCTTGGCTACTTTATACGCAAACGTGAGAAATAAGAAGTAAGTATGTAGTGATTGGATTGGCATAGCCTTCTTTCGACAATTGCAGTTGATCCGCAAATGTCAGTCATGACCAGAACAGAATGCCGTAATTTGACGTCCACGAAGACAGCCAGACGTCAGCCACTAAGGGGCGTAAAACTCGAGTTCCAATTCGAATTTCAATTTTGAATAGCCGTTTGTACGAATGGACAATGTAGAATATTGTATCGTCGAGTTTACAAGTGCGTTGAACAGAGATAAAGAGATGAAATTATTAATTCTATTGCTACAGTCACACAACTCTAGTCCAAGATGATTTCTAGATCTACGTTCCACTTAATTGTCTCTTTATACCGTAATAGCCATTTAATTAACTTATTTTGTTTATCATGATGGTAGGTAAGTGACAAAGCAAGATGAACGAATGACTAAATTTGCACGCGTTCTCTATTGAATGTCGACCGAAATTTGCGTGTACGTAATACAAAAATGAAGCGTGTGGAAATACACCGATACAATGATCCTCCCGTAAAGAAAGCACTTTATTTTTATGATAACTATGGAGTTCACGTCGGACTTTGCATAAGATAAGCCATTAGATAATGCACCGTTAGGACAATTCGTCGGACGTTCTTTATAAAATTTACAATGCCTAGATGCACCCAATGTCGCAATGACTATATATATATATATACGCTCGAATTCCCCCCCCCCATGTTCCCATCCCGCCCCCCTCACAAGCACTTAAATTTTTATTGCAAAAGCAATTAATGTGGATCGCATTTTTTATAAAAATCTATTTCACTGGCGTAAATGAGCGTAACATTAACAATGACTTATGCTTTGCGCAGCACCGATTGTAATTCTTGAGCCGCGAGAGAGAAATATGCATTTCCATTGTAACGCAACAGAGCACAATCGGCAACTGATTTACAAATGGCCTTTTTTTAAAAGCGCGCACCTCTGGCGCGTTTAAATTACGCACATTCTAGTTTCGGTCGCCAAAAGAAAAAAGAATTATCCTGTAAACAAGATAACGCGCCTCGAACCGTACATAAATACTTGCAGCCTCCATTCCGTATCCTCTAAACGCAAATTCAGTGTGAAAATGGACGCTCGCACCGCAGCTATTGAGAAACGAATGCCAACAAGATTAGCGCAGCAACCTGAAAGGAAAGTTTTTTACTCCGGCAAATATTTGCGTTAAATGTTACGTTGTTGGAGCGATGCAAAAGCGACTGCTCGGGCTAAAGAGAGACGCGCGATATTTGTCTCAATTACTCGTTTTAATCAACTCGCTCCTTTTTCTCTTCTCTTGCAGCGCACGGACGAACGCTCGCTTTCGATAGCTGTGAGGATCCACAAAACTCTCGAACTGGCCGACGACAAGTTTTACGTAATAACGTGCGGCAACACCAAGTACAGAAACGCCAGGTACGTTATTCCATTAACTTTCTTCGCTTGAATACTTATGCAGATGTATGAAGGATTATCATGGGTAGACGTATAAGGATGTGATTGACAAGGAAAGAGGCATGAAAGACGACTTTCATGTTGCACTGCGCCTCTCGAGCGGTGAAAGTCAGCACTACAATTGATTTGCACGTTAATGTTGCTAATATTTGGCGATTAAGTAAAGACTGCTTGGTAACAGTGGGATTACCGTAACGAGTAAAATATCGTTGACAGTTGTAAAGAAAGTACTTTATTATTTATGCAAAGATAAAATGTACCAGATATATAAAATTTTTAATATTAGCAGCTGTTATTGTTATTGTTGGTGTTATCGTTGATCTCGTCGTCGTCATCGTCGTCCTCGTCACAATTAAAGGGTAATTTTTTTTTGCAAAAATTTCCTCTACTTAATTTCCACTGGCGATTGAATGTATTTATTAAATTAATAGATAATTATAGTCAATTTGGAATGTGATTTAAAAATAACAAAGCTGCGCCCGAAATCAACGATAAACTTGATAAATATCTCGGTTAAATATTGCATTTAGACGGACGTGTTGTGACATTAACTTCTTCATAGGCGCGCGATATACAAAAAAAAGTAGAGAAACGCCATCTCGAATAGCTTGGCTTAGGAGATTTCATGTAACCTCCTACAGATATTGCGTGAAATTCATCGAGCCAAGGGACGCGTGATATACGAGAGACAAAATATATAAAAAAAAAAAAAAAAAGGTAAGGATTGGCTGAGGGAATGACAAAGACTAGTGACGTTAAAGAAGCACCTCTTGGAAATTAATCCCAAAAGCTTTGACCAAGGCCGGTTGAATTGTGCAACAGCGACTCACCACCGTTCCCTCCTTTACCCCCCCCCCCCCCCTTTCTTCATCGTCGTCGTCTTCGTCGTCGTCGTCGTCGTCGTCGTCGTCGTCGTCGTCGTCGTCGCCATCATCGGCATCGGTGCCGTCGTCCTCGTCCTTCCCTTCCCCTTGCCCTATCGCTCCTGTCATCGTCGCCAATCTGCAACTTCTTGTCGCCGCGATCGGCTAATATCGGTCGGCCGATGCATTTTAGTGGCACCCATATTATATTATACACTCTATTCGATTGTAGAAATGAAACGTCCTTGGTGTCCTTGCGGCTACTGGACGGCTCCTCGCGGCGAGTGCAAGAGGCCATTTTCGGGCATAACTACACGCTGCGCGCCGAGATATCGCCGGTCGATGGTAAGTATTACTTGCGTCATTGCCCTCGCTATGCGCATGCGCTCAAGCTTTTGCGAAACTCCAGTGATTTTTTATTTTGTTCCCATCGGCCGATGATCTTAATATTAACCTCGAATACCTTGAAAGGAAAAGCCCATTTTCTCGGGGGTGCGTGCGTGCGTGCGGTGTGCGTCGTTTTTCCCTGAAATGAGAAAGTGTTATTTCATCACGGACTATAAAACTATTTCAGTTCATGCTCATACTAATTCATGCTATCGACTCGCTTTATGACACGGGCATAGTTTATTTACTCTTATAATGCTCGTACTGGATTGTCTTAAAGTGAATTTTGCCAACGGGATGGATCTTTTCATACTTTAATCATTTCTAAAAAACATTCATAAATACACAATTTCTTTTAACGCACTGCAGATAAATTCTTTGATACGTAAAAGTTCATGCGAGATATGTCGCGGAAACAAAATTAAAGCAGAGAAATTGATGGTAGATCTATGGTACCAGCAGCCGATTAGTCACCATATTTTATCACATGCTCACGTGATTCGGAATTTCAGGTATTCGAGCGCGCGCGCGCACACACACGCACGCACACACACACACACACACGCACACACATACGCACACGTGCGCACAAAATAACATACGTGCTTGGCGATCTTGAAACAATTTCGCGAGATATTAGCAGGCAATATTAATCCTTCAAATGGTTATGCCTAGATGCCTCAAGACGTTCGACGTACGCTCGATTTTACCATATTCGTCCAAATGATTAAAGCCTCCTCGCGCTTACCACATTCACTCGACATTTTTACCAATTTTCAGCTCACTTATCACGATTAAAAACATAAATATTGCTTCCTAATTAATGATTGAGGGCGTCGGACAATTAAGTCCGCTATCCATTGTCTTGCACGATACATATTTGTTTTTACAATCACGATAAACGTATGGGAGGGGAAAAAAAAACTTTTTC